GAACCATTGGGCTCCATGTAATAGATCTCTGAGCTCTGTGATGAGGGGTAGGGGGTAGCAATTCTTTTAGTGATTGCGTTGAGTCCTCTGTAGTCGATTACAGGTCTCAGTTTCTTCTTCCCCTTCTTCGGGACGAAAAGAGTGGTGCTCCAGCGGGTGATGATGAGGGTCTAATGTGCCCTTTCGCGAGCTTTTCGTCGATGTATTCGTTGAGTTCTTCCTGCTCTTGTTGGTTCATAGGGTACAGTGGGTAGAACTTTGGTTGCGTTCCTTCTTTGAGTTCGATTTCCATGTCCCAGCTGCTGTGTTCTGGCAGTCCTGTTCCTTCCTTGGAAACGAACAGTTTGCTGTACTTCCGGTACTCCTCGGGTATAGTCTGGAGTGGGTTCGATCCCTGATCGTCCGTGCCGGGTGCTAACGACCTGGTAGGCTCTACGTGTCTGACGTAGGCAATGTATTTCGTCTGTTCGTCAGGTGTTGCGTAAGACTCGTTTGAACCCTGTTTCTTAGGTCGTTCAGTGACTGAATCTGTCCATTGGATGTGGCCATTCACCCAATCTATCCGTGGATTGTGCTTTCGTAACCACGAGATTCCTAGGATGACGTCGATGTCTCCGATCTCCGTGATGTCGTACTGGAGTTGTTCTGGATGATTGTTGACGTGTGTCGTGAGGTGTACGGTCTCGCGAGTGACAAGTCCTTCGTCATACCCAACTCTTTCTCCTTCTACATTCTGTAGGGTATAAGGTTCTTCCTTCTGTACCCATGGAAGGTCTAACTTGTTCACTATCTTTGGTGATATGAAGGTTCGTTGAGCGCCGCTGTCGATAATCGCGCGCATATCGTGTCCGTTTATCTGGAGTCTCACTCTCAGATGTTCGTCGTTGAGACATGTTGTTGAGCATAGGCGCTTGTCCTTGCTCTCCGCCTTTCGGTGTCTCTTGTCGATTGGCGTTTCTAGTTTTTTGTCATTCTGTTCCTCAGTCTGACGTCTTGTTCGATTCGTTCTTGATGTTCTCTCCAAGCCTTTGCCTTGGGTACGTAGTGGATTTGGCACTGGTCGTGTCTGTAGTCGTCCCATTCTACGTATTCGCTGTTTAAGTATTGCATAGGAAAGTTTGGATTAATATATTTGCATCGGGGTTCGTCGAGATCCTCTTCAGAACTGGTGTCGTCAACGCTAGGCGGTGCCTTGTGATCGATCTCCGTCTGAGCACGTCGTCGAGCGACGTCACGAGGTTCGTCCGAATCGTAAGGTGAATTTTCACCTTCGTCGAGTGTGTGTGAGCTAGAGCCGAAGGTCGGTTCTTGGCTGTCTGTTCGGAAGTCGATTTTTCCGTTCTCGTCCATTCCGAAATCGAGGTTCTTTCGCTTGATGATTTCGATTCTGTGTTCGCGGTCGAGGTCTTCGAGCTGCCCGAGGACCTTGCGTTGGAACTTGTTGTTCGGGGTTTGTCGCATCATGAGATGGACTTGGTGGGAATTCGTACTTCCCTGCTGGGATCTCTTCTTCTAGTTGAAGTAGGATTTCTTGTCCTTCGTAGTCATTCTTTTCTGGAGTCTTCCTCCGACTGCTGCGAGTGTTTGAGCTCGTCTGGGATGGCTGCTAGGTCGTGTCCTGACGGCTTCGTAGGCCGTGGACAATGTCTGAATGCATTCTTTATTGTGATCCTCGAGGGTCTTCGGTCGTTGCGTGACCTCTTGCCTGCTTGTCATAGCGAGGGTTTTGATGCTGGCGGGCTCCTTAGGGTACCATCCCGTGTTTTCCTTACTGTCTTGATGGGTAAGGCAGTTGTCGTCGTAGCATGCTGTCCAAGAGAGTTGCTTGTGAGGAATTTCCTTGGTAGCGATCCTGATCTGTTTCTCGGGCACAGGTCGCTGCTGGATTCTTCTGGGTTGTTGACAGTTGCGGGACATGTGTCCTGGCTTGTCGCAGTTGTAGCATCTGAAGACTTCCTTCTGGTACGGTTGTTCTCGTTTGGCCATGCTGAGGTCCATCGGTCCACTATGGTGTCCATAGGCCGTGGTTTGTCGGTTCTGCCAATGGTTGTTTCTAGGGCGGTTCTGTCCTTGGAAGCGCGGTTGATAGCGTTTCCCAGTGTTTGCTTGCGGGACTTGTTTCCTTTCCCTTCGTCGTTCGTAAAGTCGATTGTCAAGCTTGATAGCCAGTTCGACGTATTTCAAGAAGTCGTTGGGTCTGTCTTGTCGAGACAGTTCGTCCTTGACTTCCTCCTTGAGACCTTCATAGAACATGAAAATCTTAGCGTTGTCGGAGTAGTTAAGTCGGGCGCAGATTCGTCTGAAATCTGCAGCGTAATACGAGGCTAATCCTTTCTGTCGAAGGTTTGAAAGCTCTCGTTCGTATTGTCGTTCTTCATCTAGTTCTTAGAACAGAGATAGAAGTGCACTTTCGAATCCGTGTAGTCCTTCGAAGATACCTTGGGTCTCTGGCTTGAGAGTGTCCCAGTCGTTGGTTATCATAAAGTCGGTAAAATGTGGTTCGAACCATGCGAGGGCTTTTCCCTTTAAAAAGGAGGCGGCATGGATGACCTTCTCGGCTTCGTCCTTAAAGTTCATTCCGTGGAAGCGTTGGTAGGCTCTGACTTGCGTGAGGAATCCCTTCAGTTGTCCTGGGGTTCCGTCAAAGGCTTGAGGTGAGTTGAGCCTGAGCTTCTCTCGTCCGTCATGCGGCGTAGCGATGATGTTAGCGGCACCGTGAGAGTATCGACCTTCTCCGTAAGGTAGTCCGCTTCCTTGGTCTTGTTCTCAAGTCGCTCCATAGCGTCATTGAACATTTGTTGCATCATGGCGATGTCGGAGTCGTTCTTCTTAATCTTCTTCTATAGGTTTTCATAGACCTTACGAGTAAAGTCAAGTTCTTCTTCCGAGTCTTCGACGTCCTTCATTTCTTCGTCCAGGGTTTTAGCGGGCATAGGGGCCTTACCCTTAGAGTCGTTAGAAGTGGACGGGGTAGCTTGGGAAGACATCGTCGTTCTTACTGTTAGTGAGTTTCGTAGGGTCAACTTACTAAACAGGAGCAATTAAAGTATTACGGCCAGCTAGTCATAGGGGTAGTTTGCAGAAGTTGAGGCTGCGGAACTAGTAACAGTAATCGTAGTCGTGGAATAGTTTCAAGGAAACTATGTCTATCAATCGTAAGGGTAGGTAAGGCTTCGGTAATCAATCGTAGTCTTATCAAGGTAGTAGCTGAAAGCGGATGTTAATCCTAATACGAAGTTAATTGCTGAAGAGCTATGGAAAGTCTGTCCTAGAGCCCAGCTCGAGTCCATCCTTATATACAAGTCCGATCCTAACTGAACAGTGCTGTACAGTCCACTTTGTCTGGATATGTTGGATATGCCGAATATCCAACATATCCTTGACTCGGTTGGATATGTCGCATATCCAACATATCCTTATCCCTTATCATATCTCTTATCATCACGTGACTTGTACCATAGTTCTTCCGTTCCTGGGGTTTCCCCAATGTTCCGTCCCGTCCTGCATATATGATGCGCCGTAGCCGCTAGGCGTCAGCGGGGCACGCCCTGGTCTTCATGTTGGGTCGTAACACTAACCGCAGTTGGCCTCTAAGAGCTTCCACCCTAACATATAGACAACGATGAATCCGACTCAGATTCATTGAAATGCCCATAGAAATAGAAATGGGTCCCTGACAATCATTGTTTGCGTCGACAGCCTAACATACTGGCAACTACAAACACCTACTAGGTGATGGTTGAAATCCTAACAGTCATTGTTTGCGTCGACAGCCTGCCGACGATTAAATTTGTATGGGAGAAATTTCGGCGCTAGCAGGTCATGGGGGTTGCGACGATTGGGATCAACGTCTGCCGACGATTAGCGGTCTGGGCGCTACACGTGTCGCGGCGAGTTCAAAACAGGTAAGCTTGTCAAAGGATCAACTACGAGCCGATTGATGTCAACAGTAATACGTTTATATGTAAGTACGGTCGCTTTGAAGCCAGTCTGCTTTTCGGTCGGTTTTTTGATGGTCGTTGAAAGACAGGGTATGTGAGCACGGACCATCTCGTCACAGCCAACCAGGTCGCATTCTTGACTTACAAAGTTTAACAGTAGCTGTAGCAACATGTCTCGATTAACGGCATTTAACTTGATCTGTTGTCAAAGGATAAAGAGGGTGAAAGTAAGTACTGCGACTATAGGATAGATGGCTAGCTTAGAAGATTCAAGTACGGCATTTCTAATTTTGAGTGTGTTTATAATGGACTACTTTGTGTACGAACTAGAACTACGGCTTCTCTGCTGCCGTATATGCCAGACCGCGGTTATACGGAAATAAATTAAGGTATATCTTCGTAATAGTCCGCACACTCTTAGCGGTCAGGAGATTAGAGAGATAGAAGCATGGGCGTTAGGTTGTATTATATTCCGTAATTAGTAAGAGGTCTACGACGGTCTATTATCTAGGCTAGACGACGTACCGGCCATCGTAACGTTAGGTCCGCTAGGTATAGGTAGTTTTTAGTGCGAGTTCGTAGTCGAAGATAGTATGTTATTACCCGACTGTCGATACGTAGGTAGAGACCGGCGGCGGATCCGAGAACATCTTAGGGTTAAGCATGGCTGGGACTTGGGACTTAAGGGTAGACGTCGCTCTATTACTACGGCGGAGTAGGAACGAAGTATTAGTCCGTAGAGGACGGGCGTCTATTACTAGCGACTATTCACAAGCGGACTCGGGAGCGAGCTGTTCGAGGTGGCAAGGGGGCTACGTCTTGAACAAGCAAGGGTGCAAGAGGACGAGCCCCACGTCCGACTCTAGCGGGCCATCGAGGCGTTCTAGAATAAGGGCGACGATATCCGAAGTCGAGAGGCGGAGCGTATCGACGAAGAGGACGATGTTAACGCGCCTAACCCGTGGCTTCGTCGGCTCGGTTCCGCTCTTTACTTAAAGGCGTTCAGCGGGAGAAAGGATTTCTTGAGGGACTTGATCGCCATGGAATGCGACGTCGACCCCGACGACCCAGACAAGTCCGACGACGCCTAACTGCGGTTCGTGCACATGGCATTTGATCGGCTGGTCGACCACGCTAAGGCCGTTATCACCCCTAGCGTGGTCACTTGGAATGCTCTGTTCGAAGTGAACCGTACCGAGCTGTCGAAAGAGAGGACGAAGCCGTTCCACTTCCGGTTTAAGCCCGAAACACAGAGGAGGTACGGACTCGTGGTCAAGCAGCTGCTCGCTTACTTCGTACGCTGCATGTCTCTCGATAACGAGGCGGATCGACCACCGTTCAAGCTTAGCACGGGGCAGCAGACTGCGTATAATACCGTAATAGACCATGTAGACGATCTGGCCAAGGCTTAGAACGAGGGCGGCCGTGACCCGGACGTACCCGGTATCGCCGGGCTTCTCGACGGGCTCGAGACGGCCGTTCTCGAGTTATATATCTCCGTTCTCGACCACTTCACCAAGGACTCCGAGTACGATAGCGTTCTCGTCAGCTTTTTGACCGTTCTTAGTATACGGGCGGACGGGGCGTAGGAAGGGTACGGTGGGTTCACGCCGAAGCTCTCCGCTATTATGGTGATCTCCCGGCTCTATATCGTTAAATATACGGTGGACTAGCGAGCTAAGGCGGTGAAGTAAAAGATGCGGTAGGGCTAAAGCTAGGAGGAGGCCGAAGATAATAGCCCGAGCTATTTTGCGCTTATATCGGATATGACCCGGCGGTTCATGGTCGGCGGGGGCGAGGGCTGGGAGACGACGCCGACGCAGTTTATCATCCGGCTCCGTAACTTCGGCATAGCTATATAGAATAATACGGCTATATACAGCTCGGTATGCTGGGATAGGAGTAAGGAGGAGCTTTATTATAAAGGTACCCGTCTCGGCGTTCTTAACGTCCAGGCGATAATACGAGTCGGGGTCCGGCAGCTAGAGACGGTGCTCTATAAGGACTTACTGTTCTTCGGCGCGTTCTCCGAATAGTCGGCGGCCGAACTGGGGCTGCCGGCGATCCCGTGGGCCGAGCTCTTGGACAACGCGGCGGACGAAACGGTCGGGCGCTCGCTCGTCGACCAGCTCTTCCAACGCGACGGGGGCGTCAGCCGAGGATAGGTGATCAAGAAGATCGTACAGGACGACGGCTTACGGTCCCGGTAGGTCACGTCCACGAACGACGGCGGCTTGACGCTATACCCCATGCCGGCATATCGATACGGGCTCCGGGTCGAGAAGGCGCTAGAGCTTCTGGCGGTTCTCGTGCACATCAGCAGCGGGTTCCCGTTGCGGGCGTAGGAGCTTCTCGTGGTACGGCACCGGAACACGTATAACGGAGGCATACGCAACATCTTCTACGACCGAGGACTCGTCATGGTCGTGACGGGGGCGCACAAAGGCTTCACCACGACAGGGCGACTCAAGATCATCCACCGCTTCTTACCGTGCAATGTCGGGATTTTATTAACGTACTATCTGTAGCTCGTACTGCTATTCTGGGAGGACGTCCAGGCCAACGTATGGGACCGGTCCCGGTTCGACGCGGGGTTGTGGGCGACGGAAGGTATACAGGGGGACGAGATGCAGTAGGGGGGCGGACGGACGGTTCAGGACGGAGCAGGCGGGGACGACGACGACGACGACGATAACGACGGGTGGAGGCTAGGCCCCGGAGAATATTGGACGTCACCGCGCTTGTCACGCAGCATCGGGCGGCTCAGCGCGTTGGCTTTTGGGCAGAAGCTGAACATCAGCAGCTGGCGGCATATCTCGACGGCCATCGGGCGGCGGTACTTCCGCAACGCGTCGACGGCGCACACCAAGCTGCTCTGCGAAGTCGACTCCGACCACAGCGGTAGCGAGAGCGACGACGACGACGAGGACAGCCCGTACGACTTACAAGCGGGCCACGGGTCCAAGGTGGCGGGGTTGATCTACGGACGGCTGGTGACCGAAGGCGGGTTCGAGACGAACGAACGTCGGGTCCGCTTCCGCCAGATCAGCGAAGAATGGCACCGACTGTTGGGTTTCCCGTCCGCACTGGGGGGCTTCGGCTTGGCTCTTACGCCCGGCCGCAAGCGAAAGACGGCGTCGACGTACGACGAAGCGCTCCGGGCGCTGCAGCTAGGGAGGTAGAAGCTGCGGCGGCGGATCGACATCGACGGTGAGCTCGTCCGCTTGTACGGGGCGGACGCCCGGTTCCGAGGCGCCCAGCGGTCGGCGATCCAGGCGATCATGGCGAATAAGAGCCCGATCGTGGTGGTGATGGGGACGGGGGGCGGGAAGAGCTTGAGCTTCATGCTGCCGGCGGTAAGCTGCCCCGGGGGCGTGACGGTCGTCGTTGTGCTGCTCGTATTGCTCTAAGGCGACTTAATAGAACGTTGCCGGCGGATGAAAATCCCGTGTGCGGAGTGGCGCAGCGACGGGTCCCCCGGGGCGGCATCGCTCGTATTCGTAACGCCCGAATCGGTTATAACGAAGCGGTTCTAGGACTACGTAGAAGGGCTCTGGGTAATAGCGTAGCTCGACGGGTTCGTATTCAACGAAGCGTATACTATTTTAAAAGGCATACGGGACTTCCGGCCGAAGCTATGCGAGCTAGGCCGGCTCGTACTCGTTAGGGTTTAAATAGTATATTTAATAGTAACATTACCGCTGTGCTAAGAGGCGGCGTTCTCGGAGCTTATCAACGTACGGCGCAAGGAGATCACGACGATCAGGGCCAGGACGACACGGGCTAACGTCGTATATAGCATAGAAACCGTTACGGCGACGACGGCGGAGGACGCTACATAGGGGATAATATAACGGGTTCGTACGCTACTTAAGGAGAAGCTCAAGATATACGGCGCGCCGGCTAAGATAATCGTGTATTATAGGACGGTAATAGCGACGGACGCTCTCGCCATAGAGCTAAACTACGATGCATACTACCGTAACGTCAACATACGAGACGGAAAGGCGGAGAGGCTGCGGGCTTAGACGAGCGGACTCGAGCGGGCACGATACAGAGGGGGGCGGGTGATCGTGGCGACGAACGCACTAAGGCTCGGGATAAACGTACCTAACATACAGACAACGATGAATCCGACTCAGATTCATTGAAATGCCCATAGAAATAGAAATGGGTCCCTAAAAACAAGGGGTCAGATTCATTGAAACGACAGGGGGTCAGCTTCATTGAGTTTTTCTTATCTAAAATAGACGATATAGACATGCATCGAAAGCTGAGAATTAGGCGAGCTCAGAAATGATCTTACCTTTATTATAAACCCAGTATTCACCTCTATATGTATAGATTCGTGATTGACGGTTTGATAGGGTCAAGATGGCTCGTGCATGGCTGCACCAATGATCGGTAGGGTGGCCGTTACTCAGATGGCTCGTGCGTCGAACCTTTGAACAGCATCACTACCAAAGCTAGACGTCTAGTAAAGGCTAAGAGCAGTCAAGATCTCAAATCGCATATGTTTAACGAGTTTGTATTTGGCCGTTTGATACAGCAACTAGTATACTATAACCCCTCCATACATAACCATAGAATCTGCATTCTGTAGCATACGTTCATCATGCCTATAACATCATAAAGCATGCCGACCTCATCCATCTCGGTAAGCCTAACCTCTAGGACACGACGAACTGTAGTAGAGTTCATAGAAAACGCCATAGAAAATAATTATGGGGCGTGAATACTAGGGTGTAGAGTTGATAGAGATTATAGGGGTAGAGTTGGTAGAGGTTTCCTTAGCTAAAATAGACGATATAGATATGCATCGAAAGCTGGCAATCAGGCGAGTTCAGAACTTATCTTATTTTATTCATAACCCAATATTTATCTCTATTTGTATAGATTCGTGTTTGCCGATTTGATGGGGTGAAGATGGCTCGTGCATCAGTGCACCAATCAACGCTAGAGCTATCATCACATAACCTTGCTATGCTCACTGAGGCAGCAGCCAATCATAGTATTTCTACCTAGCGTTTCCTTTGTGGTAAGCAGTTTAGTATAGTTAAACGAGATAAGGAATGCGCTGCAGCTACCGAATGAGGAGATAGCGCCCATGTCCAGTTTAATGCTGTGGTTAAGATAGTTGCCCGTCCAACAGCATCTTAACTCAACCACAGTCAACATCAATCCACCAATATGTAAGACTAACACCACTTATCTCGGTAGTAGCCCACAACCACCACGGCCCAAGACTATCGTAATTACGCTAGTAATGGAGCCGTTTATCTTTTATGAAGAGTATGCACTCGCTATTTGTAAAACATGTCAGTTTGCTGTGGTTAGTGACGAGTTAGCCACCCACCTACGGACACGCCACCGCCATATCCCACCGTCGACCCGTAGTAGCATCGTCAAGGCCATCTCTAGTATAATGGGCATACGTACGAACCAGGCCAGTCTTGCGCAGCTGCAGTATCCCGACCCATCAATAGCCCCCATCGACCATCTTGCCGACCTACGTACGGACGGTATCCGATATCACCGATACTCCTATGTTTATTGCCAAACTTAAAGGATCCAGGATCATTGCCGAAGACATCACGGGTGGGTGAACGATTAGAAGAAGGGCGGTAATATAAGGGCGAGATCTTATTAGGAACGTAGTATACCGTGGACGTCCGGTATATTATACTAGCGGTTCTTTTATTACGGGCTAGGAGCCAATAGTTCGAGGTAGGGCGTGGCCAACCGCTAGACCAAGTGCCGGAGGCGGTCGCCGAGGAGGTAGCGTCACGGTAGGCTACCGAGCTACTCCGTCAATTACGGCAGAACTAAGCCGAGCAGGTCAAGGCGAGCTATGACGATCTTATCCGTGCTACCAACGACAAGCTCGAGCCGAACCCGTGGCTCCAGCGGGTAGGATGGGCAGAGCATCTAAGTGGACTACGCATCAGCCAGCTCTACGAAACCACCGGCCTAATCCAGGAGGCCGTGGAGGACGTGCTCCATGTGATGTGGACTTCGGTCAACGAGGTCTTGGAGTACGCCAGGGCCATATCTACGCCTAATAAGGTCGGGCACGCCGTATTATTCGAGGTCTAGCGGAAGGAAGCATATATTAAGCCCACGAGGCCGTTTAATAACCGCATTGAGGAGGATACTTAGGTACGGTATAAAGATGTCTAGAGGGTCTTGCTCTATGTGTGGTTCCGGACGTAGGAGCTACCGGACGACAGGAGACCGCCGTACCGGCTCACCGAGAGGCAGTACGATGCGTAGGACGAGTTCGAACAATTAGCCAAGGCCGTGGTAGAAGGGGACTCCGACACTACGTCGGATACGCTCCGGCCGGTAGCACTTAAAATGCTCGTTAGCATGCTGGACCACCAGCTTAAGAGAGGGCAGTACGAGAACGCGATAGTGAGCACGCTCGCTATAATAGGCATCCGGGCCGACGGTGGCTAGATGGATATTACCGACTATACAACAAAGTATTCGGCGATCATTAAAGTAGCACGTATGTTAGTCGTTTATAAGGCATATACGCAGAGGCAATACGATGTCGCTCGTCAGGCCGCTACGACGGACGAGGGGGCGGCCGATGATGGCATAGAGAGTCTCTTTGTCTACGTCCGTCGCATGGTACAGAGGTTCATGATGCGTACGCCCGGGGCCCCCCAAGCCGAGCCAACACCGATGGATTGGATTCTCGAGACGCGGACGTATGGCATGCACATATAGTATAACACGCCGGTAGACGGCGTAATCGACTGGGTAGGCGACCGCATATCGTATCGGTGCGTACGGTTTACCATGGACCAGTTATCGGATATGCTCCACGGCGTCGTCGACGAGGCCAGGCTGCTATTAGCGCAGCTCACGATGTCACAGGCGGGGACGAGCAGGGCGACGCAGTGTCGGACAGCAGCCAGGCGAGGAGCTGTTAGACGAAGCGCTGCCGCGTATTCAC